CTGGATAGATGGTAGTTCTATTCATTGGAATAGGGAAAATGGAGGAAGAAACAGCTTGGGATCAGAAAAACTGATTTATTCAGTTTTGCTTAAGTCCAAAGAAATTTGGTTATTTTGTTGTTGTTGTTTGGAATATCTTCTAGGACTATTTCAATTCTGATATAGTCCTAATCTGTACCACAAATTAGCGCCTGTGAACTAGAGTAGACTCGGTTTTATCTTTCTCCATCAATTCAGTCAAAAATACTCTTTAATTACTGGAAATGTGATGATAGAAAATGGAGATCCTTGTACTAAACATTGTTGATTCTTGAAGAAGGTGATGGTGGAACATACCTCACAGGCTGGACCAGATCCTGTTGGGGGAAGTACTTTTCTGGGCTAGTCAATAAAATTTATAAATATTACATAGAGGCTAGGGCATATACATTACAGTACTAATTCTATGGGAAATAACTAAGAGAGAGGCCCTAAAAGATTGCAAACCAGTCTCAGTTTATAGAGCATTTCTGAACAAGTTGATATAGCATTTCTGAAAAAGGTACTTGTTTTCATGGAAATGGTGAGACTTGGTGTGTAGAGGATTAAATTGAATGTTCACACTCTACTGTCATAGGAGCCCCCAAAGACTAGACCCATTCATTGAGTGAAGTAATTGGAAAGACTGTCTGCCAAATTGCCTAACTGCTAAAAAACTGAAATTATCTCCAAAGAATCTCCCCAGCCGACTACATTTCCCATCAGACCATTCTACTCAATTACTTTACCTCTGAGCATCTGCAGACATCTGCATTTATGGCTTCACCACAAAACAGGGCTCAATGACTTTAGTAAAGTCTAGGCATTTTTTTCCAGGGGAGGTGTAAAAGCCATAGTCATAAAATTAAATTATATAATGAAATCCTTCAAAATAAATTAACTGCAGGTATCTTAATCAGTTGATGTAATGGAGGATGTCTGCCAAGAAGAATGGCTTTGGCTTGGGAGCAACTGTTTCTTCTGGTAATAATTAGGTAATATGTCTGGTTGCCTGTTGTTTATTAAGGCCATTCCTAATTTATGATAATAAAATCATGTTCTGAATTAAAAAGAAAAATATTATGTTTCTGTATTCTGTAGTGCAGTGGCAAAAGTGATTTAAAATCATTGGGATAAAAGTTAAATGGAACAATGAAGTATGCCCAAGAGCATTCCTGTTGTATACTACTCTGCCTTATCATCTTCAAAATGATTACTTTGTCCTATTGATGTCTCAAGGTGGTATTTAACAACGTGAAGAACTCCTTTGTAATTATATCCTTAGGTTAAATTTTTAAAATTAGGATTATACCCTAGATCAAATAACTTGTTCAATTTACAATTTGATAAATTCACCAGATTACTTGCAAAAAGAACTACCTACTTAACTCCCATCATTAAAACATGAGAGTGATTATTTCCTTACATCTTCATTAATAATGAATTTTATCTGTACTAATTTTTAATCTGTACGAATCCAAAAGCCAAAATATATTTTGTAACTTATTAGTTTTACTGACCTGACTATTAATGCAGTTAGATATAGGTTCATGTTTCTTGACCATTTGTATTTCTTCTGTTAATCAGGTTTATGTAACTATTGTCCATTTTTCAACTGGGCTATTAATTTATTTTTCATTGTGGTTCTCACTTTTTCCCTCCTGATTTGTAAATTTGTAATGTTTGTAACATTAATTTTGTGTCACTTTTACTGCCTATGAATAAGCTTTGTTTGGTATTATTTATTATTATTTCCTCATTTTTCTTTTTGCCTGTGTTTTCTGATAGATATCTGCCATATACAGGGTGGGGCAAAAGTAAGTTTACAGTTGTGAGTTTGTGAAAGTTTATTTATTTTTTTATCTGAACAATAAAGATTTAATTTAAAAATAAAAAGAACATGGAGAACAAAAGTAGACATCCCCTGGGTTTAGGGGACAGGAGCACAGTAGCACCCAAAAGCCACGTTAGGATGCTGGGACCAGCAGTGCTGGGCTGTCCATGGAGGGTTTGTCCTCAGGCACAGGCTGGGCTTTGGGATCCTGAGCTGTGCGCACTGCGCCCACTAGGCGGCGCCTCTTAGCCAGGACCTGAACAATGGACTCTTGAGTCCCCTGTTCCCGAGGACGACGACCACTTCCACCACCACCTGTGCCAGTTGGCTGGTGATCCTGGGCAGATGGGCCCGAGGTTGGCCGTGAGGATGGTTCCGGCTTTGAGGAGCAGAGGGCCGCGGCAGCCGCAGGCTGGGCAGCAGAGGCAGAACCCTGGCCTAGCGAGGGGCGCAGGCATGACTTGCGCACAAGGGCCCGGCTGCCACGGTGGCCGCGGGACCCACGGCCCATGCCCACTGATCCAGGGGTGTGCGTGGCCCGACGGGGCTGCAGTTGCCTCAGGCCCAGCTCCACGTGGTCCACAACAGTCTGGTCCTGCCCGCGTTTCCACAGCTCATAGCGCTCGGGCTGCAGGAGGCGCACGAACACGTCCATGGAAAAGCTCACCCGGGCCTCCCCGCAGCTGCACTGAGAGGCCACTTTGCCATAGTCGACCCATCGCGGGGTGGCAAAGTTGATGGCCTCCGCACAGTTGAAGCCATGGTTGAAGCCAGCGTGGTAGCCATAGGGAAAGGTCACCATGAACTCTCCAGCCTCCTGAGTGATGCGACTGAACGGGATCCCGTTCTCCTTGAGGACAGTGGGCGAGATGAGGGCCACCTTGTGCCGCAGGAAGGCCTCGCAGCCCCGAGAGCTGCCCGGGAAAAGCTCCCTGGCCAGGCGCTCCAGGCGCGGGCCGTGTTCTGGGGGCACCGCGTACCACGTTTTGGGCTCCCCAAAGTGCAGGTAGTTGATGCTGTAAAGGTCCATGTCCTCCGTGTGCCAAGCGAAGGTGGTCTTCCACATGCCAAAGTACAGGTAGGGGGTGTTGACGCCTTCGATGACAACCCCACACTCCTGCTCCAGCAGGTCCTGGATGGTTCCCAGGTGGCCAAGGTTCCATTGTTTAGTGTTGGCATCAAATAAGGAGCCACTGATGTCAGCGCCATAGATGGGCGAGTTGTACAGGCGCGTTTTCCAGTATTTCCGCTCCAGATCCTCAAAATCCAAGTGTGGTGGAGTCTGATACTGTCCACTGTTTGCCAACAGGCGATACTCGCCCACTGTCATGGCCCTCTTCTTTTTGTGGTATTGAATGAACACACCTGCTCGCCCAGACGCCACCTGCTGGAGGGGAGTGGCTATCACCATGTCGTTGACATCATCGTAGGTCTGTCTGGCTTTCCATTCCTTGGGTGGAATGACCTTCGCCAGGCCAGCTCGGTGGGCACCTTGGGATTCCATGTAACCAATATATTTGTTGAAATCTTTAAATTCTTCCATGGTTGGGTGGAAGGTCATGATTCTCCTACTTGGCTCATTAGACACCATGGCTGCAATGTAAGCAGAGGATTTCCGGGTTCTAAGGGATGTTTTAGATACCTGAGAATGATGGGAGTAATGTCTTCTCTCTTGTTTGACCAGCATTCAGTTGGTCATCATAGCCCCGATCTCTAGCCAGGATCTCCAGCCAAGGTCTGTGTCTATTGAGCTATTACATCTGTATTTATACCAGTTGATTTTAATCCTATCCATTCTATTCCAAAGGTTAGGGCGTTTCTTATCTCCATTCCAAGGTTACTCTTTTGTTCTTTTAAGCTACAAGGGAGTAACTGAAGGAGATTATCCTAAATAAAGATTATGTAGCTTAAGCGTGATTGTTCATAGTTAAAGTGATTAATTACCCGCCTGGCACTTAGTTAAGGGGTTTTATTCCCTCCCTAACTCCAGGAAAAAATCCTGACTTGGGGAAACAACCTTTCTCAGGGAGGTGGTCCTGTTTAAAACACATAGTGTTAAGAGGGGGAGCAAACATATGCCATATATGCCAGGTCCCTTGAAACATAAGCTGTGCAGATGTTTCTTCCCTGCAGCGACTGTGTCAAGCAGCAAGGGTGGATCGGCTTCCGGCAGGAACATAAAAAGGACATTGAGTAAAAACTGAGGAAATCTGATTAACAGATTTATTAAATAACGTATAGGCCTTGATTCATCAACTGTAACAAATGTACCACAGTATTGTAAGGTATTAATAATAGGGGAAACCGTGAATGAGGTAGCATGGGGGTAGTTATATGGGGGGAACTCTCCCAATTCTCTGATCAAATTTTTAATCTAAAACTGTTCTAAAAAATAAAGTATCACTAAGTGTAATAAAATAATAAATAAGAGAAGGTGTCAACGAAGAATAGAAGAATGAAAAAAATTAGAAACAATCTATTTTTAAAAACAGTCTACAATACAGCACAATATAAAACAAACAATTCTATAAACCAGTACATGATAATTTTTTTAAAGCAGGAAGGTTTAACATTTGTTTAATTATAAAATATGTTCTTATAGAAATTCACAAAGCATATTTGTACAGCTTAACTTACACATATTAAGAACTATTAACATCTATTAATAACTGTGCTTAATAACTGTGCTTCCTGAGGTGCAGGAGATATTCTACCAAATGACCCATGGCCACCCTGCGTCCCCTGCAGGTTGGTATGATCAGCTGGGGAGTCGTGGGTGTCTGCAAAGACAAGAAACTGCAGCACCAGGTGCCTGCTCACGCCTGAGACTTTCACATCAACCTCTTCCAAGTGCTGCCCTGGCTCAAGGAGAAACTCCATGAAGAGGATCTGCGTTTTCTATAGGGGTTTCCTGCTGGGAAGGGGCATGGGATCCAATTTTAAGAGCTGTGACAACACCTGTGCTCAACATCCTTTGGGGTAAGGGAGTGGGGAAGACGCACTGGCCATCTTGCTACAAATGAGATCCAATCTAGTAGCCGTTGTAAAAGGCTCAACCCATCTGGTTGCTGAGAAACCAGAGGCTGAGGGAGGTGTGTGAGCTTCCACCTCAGTGCTTTACGGGGCACAAGCAGTTCAGCTCCGCCACCTAGAAGCCATCCACAAGGTTTTCCTGGCAGACATCGTCATTGTAGACAATCTGGGTCCTTTTGTCCCGATGGCAGCCCTGAGGACTGTTCTGGAGGGCGAGGGAGCCCCACACGGACTTGCCAGTGGCGGCATCCAGCGTGGGCTGTTTGCGGGCAATGCTGACTTGAGCTGCACGGACTCCACCTGCGTCCCGTTGAGCTCAGCAACGGCCTGATCTGCTGACTCCATCTTTTCGTAGGTGACGAAGGCACAGTTTCTGGGTGGGTCCATGGAGAGGTCAGTGATGTTTCCAAAGGGGGAGAAGGCCCCACGGAGGAGGGTGGGCGTCATGTCTTCCCCAAACACGTAGAGAGCGTTCCCCTTCCGAGGGGCCCGGCGTTCAGGGAAGGAGTCCGACCTGCGGAAAGGGCCTTCTCGGTCTTGGTCCCGGTCTCTGTCTCGGGCCCGGTCCCGGTCTCTGTCTCGCTCCCAGTCCGGGTCTCGCTCTCCGTCCCGGTATCTGTCTCGGTGCCGATCTCTGTCTCGGTCCCGGTCCCGGTCTCTGTCTCACTCCCGGTCCCGGTCTCTGTCTCGCTCCCAGTCCGGGTCTCGCTCTCCGTCCCGGTATCTGTCTCGGTGCCGATCTCTGTCTCGGTCCCGGTCCCGGTCTCTGCATCGGCCCCGGTCCCGGTCCCGGTCTCTGTCTCGCTCCCAGTCCCGGTCTCTGTCCGGGTTCCGCTCACGACGGCGGTCCCGGCTGCGGCTTCGGGGAGGGGAGACTGAGGAGCGGGCGTTACCACGTGCTTCGGAGCCCCATCCGGAGCTTCGGGGAGGGCCATCGCCAGCCCCCGGGCCCTCTGCCTCCTCCCCGTCTGGCCCCGGGTCCCGAAGCCGGGCACTGGCAGACACAAAGCTCTCGTACAGAGATGTCCTTTGGGGACGTCTGGGCGACTCCTGCAGATGGTCATCAGCAGATAGGCTCCCCTGGAGCGTCCCCTGCTGGGAAGTGGGGACCGGCCCCTTCTCAGGGTCTTTGAACTTTCCCTCTAGGGTTCGAGAACGCTTGAAGCCCGAGTTCTTGGTCTCAGCCTTGGCGGCACTGATGGCTCCCGACTTCACCAGCTGCTTTGCCTGCTCCGTGGCGGTGGCTGGGTCCAGCACGGGCTGCGCTGGCAGAGAGCGTTTCCCACGCCTTGGCTGGCTGTGCTGCTGCTGCTTTGCTTCTTCAGAGCCAGCAGTGCCTTTTTCTTTTTCTTCAGTTCGTTGAATTTCTTCTGCAGAACCTCCTCCTCCTCGCTCAGTCCGGGGGGTATCACCAACATGGTGGCTCCTGAGGGGCGTCAGCCCGGCCCGGTCTCACCTCCCTTTCAATACCAAACCTTCCTTAAGAAGGAGTCCACGGAGCCAGCTGCCTTCCTCTCCTGCTCTAACAGTTTATTCTTGTGTTATTATTTATTAACTATTCTAATATTTTCCATGTGAACAACTATAAACCTACTTTTGCCCCACCTTTTATATTTATCTATAAATTCCACCAGCAAAACCTAGTTATTCAAGTTTTTTTTACTCTCTCAAAGAAGATGTCCTTAATACATTTTTACTCTCATTCTTTCAATGTTTTTTTTTATCTTATTAACTAGTTTTTGTCCCATTTTAAAAGTACCCACATTTTTAAAAAATGTATATTTTTAGTATTTAGTAGTTAATTGCTGTTCCCATATATGTTACCAATTTCTGAATTCACTTTAGGTTCTTGCATCCTACTCCTTCCTTTTAGGTTCAATTTTTTTAAAAAAATTCTTTATTAGTTAAGGTGTTACAAATGTGTCCTCATCCCCCCCATTAAACCCCCATCCCCCCCCCACTCATGCTCTCATCCCCCTGTTGTCCATGTCCATTGGTTTGGCGTATATGCATGCATACAAGTCCTTTGGTTGATCTCTTCCCCTTGCCCCATCCCTCTCCTACTTTCCCTCTGGGGATTAATAGTCTGATCACTGTTTCTCTGTCTTTGGATCTGTCCCTAGTCATCAGTCTATGTTGTTCTCTATATTCCACAAATGAGTGAAATCATGAGGTATTTATCTTTCTCTGACTGGCTTATTTCACTTAGCATAATGCTCTCCAGTTCCATCCATGCTGTTGCAAACGGCAAGAGTTCCTTCTTTTTTACCACAGTGTAGTATTCCATTGTGTAGACGTACCACAGTTTTCTAATCCACTCATCTGTTGATGGGCATTTAGGCTGTTTCCAAATCTTAGCTATGATGAATTGTGCTGCTATGAACATAGGGGTGCATATATCCTTTCTGATTGGTGTTTCTGGCTTCTTGGGATATATTCCCAGAAGTGGGATCATTGAGTCAAATGGGAGTTCCATTTTTAGTTTTTTGAGGAAGTTCCATACTGTTCTCCACAGTGGCTGCACCAGTCTGCATTCCCACCAGCAGTGCAGAAGGGTTCCTTTTTCTCCACATCCTCGCCAGCACTTGTTATTTGTTGATTTGTTGATGATAGCCATTCTGACAGGTGTGAGATGATACTGCATTGTTGTTTTGATTTGCATCTCTTGTATAATTAGTGACTTTGAGCATGTTTTCATATGTCTTTCAGCCTTCTGTATGTCCTCTTTCAAAAAGTGTCTGTCTAGGTCCGTTGCCCATTTTTTGATTGGATTGTTTATCTTTCTATTGTTAAGTTTCATGAGTTCCCTGTAAATGTTGGAGATTAAACCCTTATCGGTGATATCACTGGCAAGTATGTTCTCCCATGCAGTGGGTCTTCTTGTTGTTTTGTTGATGGTTTCCTTTGCTGTGCAAAAGCTTTTTATTTTGATGTAGTACCATTTGTTTATTTTCTCTTTAGTTTCCATTGCCCTAGGAGCATTATCAGAGAAGAAATTCCTTCAGCATATGTTTGTGATTTCGTTGCCTGTGGATTCCTCTAGTATTTTTATGGTTTCCCATCTTATGTTTAAGTCTTTTATCCATTTTGAGTTTATTTTTGTGTATGGTGTGAGTTGGTGGTCTAGTTTCATCCTTTTGCATGTATCTGTCCAATTTTCCCAACACCATTTATTGAAGAGACTGTCTTGACTCCATTGTATGCTCTTGCCTCCTTTGTCGAATATTAATTGGGCATAGTGGTTTGGGTCAATTTCTGGGTTCTCTATTCTATTCCATTGATCTATATGTCTGTTCTTGTGCCAGTACCAAGCTGTTTTAAGTACAGTGGCTTCGTAATACAGTTTGATATCTGGTATTGAGATCCCACCTACTTTGTTCTTCTTTCTCAGGATTGCTGCAGCTATTCGAGGTCTTTTTTTATTCCAGATGAATTTTTGGAACATTCACTCTAGATCTGTGAAATATGCCGTTGTCAATTTAATGGGGATTGCATTGAATCTATAGATTGCTTTGGGTAGTATGGACATTTTGATGGTGTTGATTCTACCAATCCATGAACATGGTATGTTCTTCCATCTGTTTATATCTTCCTCTATCTCTTTTTTCAGTGTCCTGTAGTTTTTTGCATATAAGTCTTTTACCTCCTTAGTTAAGTTTATTCCTAGGTATCTTAATTTTTTTGATGCGATAGTAAATGGGATTGCTTTTTTAGTCTCACTTTCTGCAAGTTCACTATTGGTGTAAAGAAATGCCATAGATTTCTTGGTATTAATTTTGTATCCTGCTACATTGCCGAATTCATTTATTAAGTCTAATAATTTTTGATGGAGTCTTTAGGGTTCTCTATGTACAGTATCATGTCATCTGCAAATAAGGACAGTTTTATTTCTTCTTTTCCAATTTGGATGCCTTTAATTTCTTTTTCTTGTCTGATCGCAATGGCTAGTACTTCCAGTACTATGTTGAACAGGAGTGGTGAGAGGGGGCATCCCTGTCTTGTTCTTGTTCTTAGGGGGAATGGTTTAGTAGGTTTTTATGTGAGAACCTATGAGTGGTAAACTTTCTAGGACTTCCTTGTTGAAAAACTATTATTTATTTAGTCCTTACTCTAGAAGGATACTTCAATTGGGTATAAAATGCTGGCTTAATAGTTATTTCCCTCCATTCCTTGAAGACATTCTTCCCTTGTCTTCTGACAATTTTTGCTGTTATTGAGAATTTTACTACCAATTTACCTCTTCTTTCTGATTATCTTGCTCTTTGATTTTCTTAAGTTTCAATTTATTTTTCCTGTTTAGTATTTGGAAGAGTGTTATGAGCTGATTTGTGTGTGCTAAAAGAGATATGTTAGTTCTAACCCCAGTACCTCAGAATGTGACATTATTTGGAAACAGGATCCTTACAGAGGCAATCAAGTTAAAATGAGATCACTGAGATAGGCTTTAATTCAATATGACATGGCAGGTGTCCTTATAAAATGAGGAAATTTGGACATAGAGGTGGACATACATAGAAGAGACAGAGATTTAGAGAGAATTCCGTGTGAAGATCAAGGCTAAAACTAGGGTGATACATTTACCAAAATTGTCAACAAATTACCAAAAGATAGGAGAGAGGCAGGTAACAAACTCTCCCTCATAGCCCTTAGAAGGAACTAATCCTGCCAATTCCTTGATTTTGGACTTGTAACCTCCAGAACTGTGAAATAATAATTTTTTATTATCTTAAACCACCCAGTCTGTGGTGCTTTGTTACAGCAGTTCCAGGAAAGTAATAGAGTGGAGATTTTCAAATGAGGCTAATGTGTTGCTTTAATTTTAGAATATTCTTAACCGCCGTATTTTTGAACATTTCTTTCTACTATAAGTTCTATCCTTCTTTTTGAATTTTTATTAAATTTAATTGGAATATCTCAATTTATCCTCAAAGTCTTTGAAATTTTCTCTTTATGATTTGGTTGAATTCCTGTGCTATATTTCAATGTGCTAATTCTCCCTTTGACCTTTTCCAGTTTATAATTTACCCAAATATTTATTTTATTATTCCAATATTCATATTTTTTATCTTTAGGATTAACTTGCAAGTCAATTAACCCAAAGTTAACCAGAAGTAAATTCACTTTCTCATTTTTAATTTTATTTGTTTTCTTAGTATTCTTTTTCTTAGTGTGTTTGAATTTTTTATTTGAACTCTTATCTTCCTTAGGAATTTGGTTTTTTACCTCTGTGCACATTCCTCCTTGCCTAACAGTTTTACACTTGTCTCAAACTCCACCTTCTCCCCAGGTCCCCTTTCAAGTGCCTGATGACATGTAGTGAATGGCTCTGCCAGTTGACTTGAATCTGTGTCTGCTTATTCCTGTCTCTCAGGAGTAAGCCATGGTTCTATACAATCTGTTATCCAGGAAATTTTTTTACAACTTTCTTTCATTGATGATAGCACTCTCACACAGCCCCTGGTTTTAAACAGTAAGACTGACATTAGTCTCCTGCCTTCCATGGACCCCATTTAGGACTTGTTACTTCATCCTAGCTTTGTCTCTAATCTTGTCCCAAAGTTCAGTGGGCTTATAGTTTACTATTTGTGGTTTTCTCTTGCGTAAGTCATTCCTAGTTAACTACTATTAACACTGGTTTTTACAGACCAGTGTAGAGAACTCTGTTGGCCTGGAAAGACCCTGTGAACTATTGCTAGGCTGTAAGCAAATTGGGCTTAAGTAGCTTTTGACAAAATCAGGCTAAGATAGGTCCTATTTCTTTTCTCCAGGTTGATAGAATGCACACATACCAGGTGCAATGTAAACAAAGATAGATGATGATTTTTCCTTAATCCTGAATGCTGAGCTGGGATTATTTTCCTTCCATAATGCTGAGTCAAGGTTTTTGGACGTTACCATGTCAGCATTATGGAAGGGAAATACAGAAGAGAGAGATGTATCCACTTGCAATTATCTTTTAACTTTTATGACACAGGACTTTCTCAGTAGCAAGCCTAGGCTACATGATGCTGTGGGATCTAGGATCAATTTTCCTCTTTCCTCAAGTGGAAGAAGTGATGAAGAGAAGCCTTGAACCCCTTTCTTGAGACTAATATTGATTTTCCTCAAAACCTTTATTGTTGTTTCATTATCTTCTACTGCTAATGAAATAAGGAAGTATGAGAACATAATGATTTTTCCTTGATGGATTTTTTACTTCTTCTGTCAATCTAACTGAACGACTCTTTGTCATTGAATTTCATTAATAAGATTCTACCCCTTGTTTACCTGGGTATGGTTTATTATATTCCCTTAGACTTTGAGCTGAAAACCTAGTGCACAAATCCATAGCTCTTAATTAGTCATTCAGTTACTAGAGGCTGTGTGAAAAGCAAGCTGGAGAAATTGGTAGCCAAAGTTCAGGTGAGTTGTACTTTCCTGCTTCTGTGAAAATTTGAGTAC